ATAAGTGGAAAGACAGATCACATTTTTAGATAGGTAAAGTCAATATGGTAAAATTTAAATGTTAATTAAAGTATCCAAAGGATTTTTTAAAAAATTCATATATGTGCGGTGAAGCCAGCACATTGAATTTGAAGAATGTTCCTAAAATACATGAGGGTGGGAGTGGGCATGGTGGGGTGGGGTCGTGGCTGTGAAAATAACCATTAAAATAGTAAAAAAGGAAGAAAAAGAAACTACCCTATATAGAAGGATAGAAACTACCCTATATAGAAAATAAAACTGAAAACAACAACATTTAAAATATTTCCATTGTAATTTGTCTCAAAGTAGACCCAGTGGATGTCAGAGATTTGTACATGATATTAACATTGCAAATCACATAGGAAATATGGCTATGTCAGTCAATAATAATGACAATACATAAATAATTTGGAAAAAAATAAAAATTAATTCCAGATAAGTCAAATATTTAAGCATTAAAGTAAAACCACAATAGCTTAAGTAAAAACAAGCTTTTAGTGTAATTTTAGATTTGGGCAAGCCTAAGCATGATGTAAAATCTCAAAGCTATGAAAGAAATGACTAATAAATTTCATTACATAAAGATTTAAAACATCTGTATGATACAAATAATAAAGGGAGCTGAAAGTACAAACTATACTTTGAAATACTATTTCTAACATGTTATAATTTTTATATATAAAAATTTAATTTTTTACATGCAAAGAGTTCTTAACAAATTAATAAAGACAAAGAATCAAGTACAGAAATACAGAGAAATGATCTATTTAGTTAATTTACAGAAAAAGAAACACATGACCATCAGTATAAATTTTCAAAATAGCTACATCTTTTTTTCTATTTCAGAGTATTTGAATTTTGAAGTCTCGAGATTTCAAAAAGATAGAGAGGAAGCTTATCTATTGGATCTGTGAAAGAATTTGTCATTCACAGAGAGATTTCACATGTAAATCTGCTTTTGCCTTTGATCAATATGCATGAAGAAGGGTTGATACAACCAGTTGAATAAGTATGTTCTTTATTTTAAGCATGTTCTTTAAATCTGCCTGATTTTTTCTTCCATTCCTCTCCCACTCTTTCCCCTTTTTTCTTTTCTTTTTCTTTTTCTTTTTTTTACTCTTTTCAATTATAAATGATTTATGTGGTGTTTATAATAATGTAAATATTTTAGTGATATTAGCAGCGGCAGATTTTCAAAAGATAGTTATTACTAACTTTGGCCAAAAATCTCTTACTTGGTAACTATGCAAATAACTCAGGAATCATGGTTTATGGCTATTGAAAGTTTTAGACTGTTTACTGTAATAAGCATGGAAATGAAGTGCACAATCCTGCCATGTGAAGGGTAGCAGAACCATATGTCTGAAGTGTCCAAATGAAAAGTAAACATAATTATAAAGCAGAAGCAGATTAACATTATTATTGGCACTTACAAAAAAATCTCTATCTTATTTGTATTTAAATGTAGGTATAAGGGATCCCTGGGTGGCGCAGCGGTTTGGCGCCTGCCTTTGGCCCAGGGTGCGATCCTGGAAACCCAGGATCGAATCCCACATCAGGCTCCCGATGCATGGAGCCTGCTTCTCCCTCTGCCTGTGTCTCTGCCTCTCTCTCTCATTCTGTGACTATCATAAATAAAAAAAATAAAAATAAAAAATAAAAAAAACTGTTTCTAAATGTAGGTATAATGATTCACTTACAGAGTAACTCTTGGCATTACCTTGAATGGAAATTTTATTTGACACAGGAGAAAGCTCAATTTTTCTTCTCTCCACTTTGATGAATATATAACCATGCAAAAAACTTTTATCTTTCCTAATAGCTACTAATTGCTTTTTAAGAAAATATTTCTACCCACACAGTACACATTTGTATGTATCAAAGTGTACAAATGTGTGTGTGTGCATGCTGTGTGAAGACACTGTTCCAGCAATGAAAGATGCAATTAATAAAACGGGCCTGTTGGTCTGTTGCTCATTTTGATCCCCCAAGGTTTCAATCATCAGGATCACAGATCTTCTGTTTTCAGGAATTACATAATTTCCACAATAAAAGTATAACATTTTTCTTGGGAGCTTTCTTTGCTACTTTTTCCCCCTTTCCTTGACATCATACGCATTATTAGGATATAAAATATAACCATGCATTTCTTCAAGCTTGCATTGACTTTTTGTGAAAGGGTGTTAGATTTGTTTTATGCCCTGAATGTCAGTTGAATCACTCATAAATTTTGAATATATCTCTTTTATAAAAAATAAAAAAATAATATACATGACAGTCTCTATAATCACTTAACCAAAACATTGTTAGGAAAATATACTATCCATTAAAATTATAACACAGATGTTTTGATGGAAAACATGTTTTGAATAAACCTTAACAAGGTATATGTACAAAAAAAAACAACAAGATATATGTACTTGTGATTGGAAAACACATTCAACTGTGAACCACTTTAATGGATTTGTTTCTTGTCAGCAATCAAAACATTTCCAAGAAAACCTATGAGTTAAGTTGCTTGATATCATACTTTAGATTACTGACATTCATATCAAATTATAATGTTCAAGAAATAAAAACTTCAGTTCATTTTTAGAAATTCAATGCTTTTATTTTTACAAAAATTTAGATAACTGCATAGATTATGCAGAAACATAGGCTTTGAGCACATTTTATATACTGAAGAAAGATGAATTATGATTAAACAGTATCTTTCCCTTTTTAAGTTGTGGTATTGAAAGAGAATGAAGCACTAATGACCAAAGTGTCCTTTGTGGTTTTTTTTTTTTAAGATTTTATTTATTTATTCATGAGAAACACAGAGAGAGTAGCAGATACATAGGCAGAGGGAGAAGCAGGCTCCATGCGGAGGGGCATATCTGGGACTCCATCCGGGACTTCATTAATCTGGGACTCCAGGATCACGCCCTGAGCTGAAGACACTCAGTCACTGAGCCACCCAGGTGGCATCCTTTGTATTAAATGCATCAATTCCTTTCTGAGGCACCATCCTTGGAAGAATTAAGGAAATAGTAAATCTCCTATATTCTGTGGTTCAGATGAGATTAAGACTGTATACACATATCAGGTACCACACATACAAACATATCACCTAGAAGATGCACAAATTACACACCTATGTAGTATATGTATATACACAGACATATGCACACAGATACATGTATACACATTCAAATATGCACCTGTGTACATGTATGCATATATATCTATGTGCACCCATATGCATATAAATATATCTAAATATATACATGTGTGCATACATACATATACTTTTTTCTATATGCATTGGTGCATGTATTTAATAAAATTTGGGGACAGAATAGTCATTCTTCAAGTAAAAATAGATATATAGTGGTGTTTTGGGGATCTAAAGAAGTGTAGTAATGGATTTTGAACTTTAAGAATGTACAGAAAAGAGTAAGTAAAAATAACAGATTTTCTCAGGATAATGTGATTGGTATTAATTAGATATTAACTGTGTTGCTTTCAGTCAGCTTCAAAATTTCTTGAACACATGGTAGATTATAAAGTTAATGGGATCGTTGACTGAAGCTAAGAATTATCCATAAAAATGGACATTATCTCTGTATGACATCAGCTCTAATGCACACTGTAGATTGTTCTATCTCCTGATGGCTGGAATACTAGGCAAATAATTGCAAGGAGTGACTTTGGTACCATAGGTGGGGTGTTGGATAGTGGCTTCAAAAGCTATTTAGGGAATTGTGAGACTGAACCTTTAGAGGTGAGGAGTGTCTAAGTAGGTTAGTGGCAGTCAAGTTTGGGGTCTGCAGGCTGTCTCTCTGTGTACAATGACTAAGATAACCACTTACTCCATTAGCCAAAACACTTCTGTTTTCCTAATAAGTCATGCCAAAAAAAAAAAGCACAAAGCAAGTATTTTGTTACATTAAAAGTGAATCCTCTAGCATTTTATTCTGGCAGTAGATTTTAGAAACTTTGAAGTATTTAAATGGTATAGTATATTCAGAAAAATGGGTGCCAATTCAATTAGTGATATTTCCTGTACATTTAGACGTGTCATAATAATTTATTTATTTTTTATTTTTTAAGATTTTATTTATTTATTCATGAGAGACACACACACACACAGAGAGGGGGGGGGCAGAGACACAGCCAGAGGGAGAAGCAGGCTCCATGCAGGGAGCCCGATGTGGGACTCGATCCTCGGTCTTGAGGATCACGCCCTGGGTTGAAGGCAGCGCTAAACTGCTGGGCCACCCAGGCTGCCCTGTCCTAATAATTTAAATTCAAAAGAAGTTTAAAGTGTATTTACCAGGAAAAAAAAATCTATAATTTTTATTTGCCAGAGTGTTTTTCTAAAACATTCAAAGTTGTTGAGAGGTGATTTTTCTGTAACTTGTTTTACTGTTCAAATCCAATTTATTTTTACCACCTGTTATTTTTCTCTCTGGGTTTTTTAGAAGTCAGTTTTGGATCATTTGATACTACTATAATAAGAGCCTCACTTCCTATGGTATAACTGACCGTCAGTTTGACAGTTCAACAAATACACAGTGAAAGTTCACTGTTTGCCAAGAGCAGTGATATTTATTTTTCCAAGGAAAATGGTTCAGCCTCAGCCTCCATCTGTTTATTTAGAAATATATTCCTTTGTCATTGTGACTATGTTGATAATTTTCCTTTTAAACAGTAGGCTTCAGGAAAACAGGAATTTTATCCTAGTGTGTATAGTCTTCTTTTAAGGATATTTTAGGGTAACTTTATAAATACAAATCATTTTTGAAGTCCTTTGTGACAGACTAACATTTAATGTAGCCTTTTTGAATAGAATATTTTTAAATTTGTAAATTTAGTGAACATATTTGTAAATACTTTTCTACTAGTAAATAAAGCACTATTTCTAGTGGAACTATTGTAATATTTGCAGAATCTGTTTCTCATTCTGGAATCTTTGTTTGTCTTTGTTTTTTCAGTCTCCTGAACAACAACCAAATCAGACAGATTTCCAGAAATGCTTTTGAAGGACTTGAAAATTTGCTTTATCTGTAAGTTGCAAAAAAGATCAACAATGACATATGGTGTTAATAGATTATTTTTGCTTTTTTGTTTGTTTTAACCAACGTAATTACTTATCTTCTTGAAAACCACTGTCAACCTTTACATAAAACACACTCAAACATTTCTAAGTGAAGTCAGTTGTTGCTTTCAACAGATTATTCATCTAAGCACATTTGAATATTTATGTACATTTTAATCCCCCATCCCTGCCACGAAAATTTTAAATTGGAGAAAAATAAAAACAAAAGTTTGTCCAACTTTCATGTTCAAATCTAATTAATTGATAATTATACAAATTGCATTGATCCAAGAGAAGCGTTTTGTATCAACAACTCAGCCAACCAAGACCTTCTGAAGCCAGTGAACACATTATAACTAGAAACTTTAATGAACCTGGATAGGATCCAAAGTTTGGAAAAACTAGCTCACAAATATGTTGACAATTGTGATGCTCTTTTGTTTATAACAAGTAAATGAGAATAAAGGTATTTTAAATAAGTCCCTGTTTTGACCCAGAAACAAGTGCATGCAGGTAAATTGAAAGTTGGGAGGTCATGACACATATGATTACGTGGAGGCTGAAGGAAGAAACTAGATAATTTGTCTAAGCACAGAGTGAGTGCTGCAACTTTTCTTTTGAAGAATCTTTTTTTTTATAATAGATTTATTTTTTCTTGGTGTTCAATTTACCAACATACAGAATAACACCCAGTGCTCATCCCGTCAAGTGTCCCCCTCGGTGCCCGTCACCCATTCACCCCCACCCCCCGCCCTCCTCCCCTTCCACCACCCCTAGTTCGTTTCCCAGAGTTAGGAGTCTTTATGTTCTGTCTCCCTTTCTGATATTTCCCACACATTTCTTCTCCCTTCCCTTATATTCCCTTTCACTATTATTTATATTCCCCAAATGAATGAGAACATACACTGTTTGTCCTTCTCCGATTGACTCATTTCACTCAGCATAATACCCTCCAGTTCCATCCACGTTGAAGCAAATGGTGGGTATTTGTTGTTTCTAATGGCTGAGTAATATTCCATTGTATACATAGACCACATCTTCTTTATCCATTCATCTTTCGATGGGCACCGAGGCTCCTTCCACAGTTTGGCTATTGTGGACATGGCTGCTAGAAACATCGGGGTGCAGGTGTCCCGGCGTTTCATTGCATCTGTATCTTTGGGGTAAATCCCCAACAGTGCAATTGCTGGGTCGTAGGGCAGGTCTATTTTTAACTCTTTGAGGAACCTCCACACAGTTTTCCAGAGTGGCTGCATCAGTTCACATTCCCACCAACAGTGTAGGAGGGTTCCCTTTCTCCCATCCTCTCCAACATTTGTGGTTTCCTGCCTTGTTAATTTTCCCCATTCTCACTGGTGTGAGGTGGTATCTCATTGTGGTTTTGATTTGTATTTCCCTGATGGCAAGTGATGCAGAGCATTTTCTCATGTGCATGTTGGCCATGTCTATGTCTTCCTCTGTGAGATTTCTCTTCATGTCTTTTGCCCATTTCATGATTGGATTGTTTGTTTCTTTGGTGTTGAGTTTAATAAGTTCTTTATAGATCTTGGAAACTAGCCCTTTATCTGATATGTCATTTGCAAATATCTTCTCCCATTCTGTAGGTTGTCTTTGAGTTTTGTTGACTGTATCCTTTGCTGTGCAAAAGCTTCTTATCTTGATGAAGTCCCAATAGTTCATTTTTGCTTTTGTTTCTTTTGCCTTCGTGGATGTATCTTGCAAGAAGTTACTGTGGCCGAGTTCAAAAAGGGTGTTGCCTGTGTTCTCCTCTAGGATTTTGATGGAATCTTGTCTCACATTTAGATCTTTCATCCATTTTGAGTTTATCTTTGTGTATGGTGAAAGAGAGTGGTCTAGTTTCATTCTTCTGCATGTGGATGTCCAATTTTCCCAGCACCATTTATTGAAGAGACTGTCTTTCTTCCAGTGGATCGTCTTTCCTCCTTTATCGAATATTAGTTGACCATAAAGTTCAGGGTCCACTTCTGGGTTCTCTATTCTGTTCCATTGATCTATGTGTCTGTTTTTGTGCCAGTACCACACTGTCTTGATGACCACAGCTTTGTAGTACAACCTGAAATCTGGCATTGTGATGCCCCCAGTACTGGTTTTCTTTTTTAAAATTCCCCTGGCTATTCGGGGTCTTTTCTGATTCCACACAAATCTTAAAATAATTTGTTCTAACTCTCTGAAGAAAGTCCATGGTATTTTGATAGGGATTGCATTAAACGTGTAAATTGCCCTGGGTAACATTGACATTTTCACAATATTAATTCTGCCAATCCATGAGCATGGAATATTTTTTCCATCTCTTTGTGTCTTCCTCAATTTCTTTCAGAAGTGTTCTATAGTTTTTAGGGTATAGATCCTTTACCTCTTTGGTTAGGTTTATTCCTAGGTATCTTATGCTTTTGGGTGCAATTGTAAATGGGATTGACTCCTTAATTTCTCTTTCTTCAGTCTCATTGTTAGTGTATAGAAATGCCATTGATTTCTGGGCATTGATTTTGTATCCTGCCACGCTACCAAATTGCTGTATGAGTTCTAGCAATCTTGGGGTGGAGGCTTTTGGGTTTTCTATGTAGAGTATCATGTCATCGGCGAAGAGGGAGAGTTTGACTTCTTCTTTGCCAATTTGAATGCCTTTAATGTCTTTTTGTTGTCTGATTGCTGAGGCTAGGACTTCCAGTACTATGTTGAATAGCAGTGGTGAGAGTGGACATCCCTGTCTTGTTCCTGATCTTAGGGGAAAGGCTCCCAGTGCTTCCCCATTGAGAATGATATTTGCTGTGGGCTTTTCGTAGATGGCTTTTAAGATGTCGAGGAAAGTTCCCTCTATCCCTACACTCTGAAGAGTTTTGATCAGGAATGGATGCTGTATTTTTGTCAAATGCTTTCTCTGCATCTAATGAGAGGATCATATGGTTCTTGGTTTTTCTCTTGCTGATATGATGAATCACATTGATTGTTTTACGAGTGTTGAACCAGCCTTGTGTCCTGGGGATAAATCCTACTTGGTCATGGTGAATAATTTTCTTAATGTTTGTTGGATCCTATTGGCTAGTATCTTGTTGAGAATTTTTGCATCCATGTTCATCAGGGATATTGGTCTGTAATTCTCCTTTTTGGTGGGGTCTTTGTCTGGTTTTGGAATTAAGGTGATGCTGGCCTCATAGAATGAATTTGGAAGTACTCCATCTCTTTCTATCTTTCCAAACAGCTTTAGTAGAATAGGTATGGTTTCTTCTTTAAACGTTTGATAGAATTCCCCTGGGAAGCCATCTGGCCCTGGACTTTGTGTCTTGGGAGGTTTTTGATGACTGCTTCAATTTCCTCCCTGGTTATTGGCCTGTTCAGGTTTTCTATTTCTTCCTGTTCCAGTTTTGGTAGTTTGTGGCTTTCCAGGAATGCGTCCATTTCTTCTAGATTGCCTAATTTATTGGCGTAGAGCTGTTCATAATATGTTTTTAAAATCGTTTGTATTTCCTTGGTGTTGGTAGTGATCTCTCCTTTCTCATTCATGATTTTATTAATTTGAGTCTTCTCTCTCTTCTTTTTAATAAGGTTGGCTAATGGTTTATCTATCTTATTAATTCTTTCAAAGAACCAACTCCTGGTTCTGTTGATCTTTTCCACAGTTCTTCTGGTCTCGATTTCGTTGAGTTCTGCTCGAATTTTAATTAACTCTCTTCTTCTGCTGGGCGTAGGGTCTATTTGCTGTTTTTTCTCTAGCTCCTTTATGTGTAAGGTTAGCTTTTGTATTTGAGTTCTTTCCAGTTTTTGAATGGATGCTTGTATTGCGATGTATTTCCCCCTTAGGACTGCTTTTGCTGCATCCCAAAGATTTTGAACGGTTGTATCTTCATTCTCATTAGTTTCCATGAATCTTTTTAATTCTTCCTTAATTTCCTGGTTGACCCTTTCATCTTTTAGCAGGATGGTCCTTAACCTCCACGTGTTTGAGGTCCTTCCAAACTTCTTCTTGTGATTTAGTTCTAATTTCAAGGCATTATGGTCTGAGAATATGCAGGGGACGATCCCAATCTTTTGGTATCGGTTCAGACCCGATTTGTGACCCAGTATGTGGTCTATTCTGGAGAAAGTTCCATGTGCACTTGAGAAGAATGTGTATTCAGTTGAGTTTGGATGTAAAGTTCTGTAGATATCTGTGAAATCTATCTGGTCCAGTGTATCATTTAAGCTCTCGTTTCTTTGGAGATATTGTGCTTAGAAGACCTATCGAGGGTAGAAAGAGCTAGATTGAAGTCACCAAGTATAAGTGTATTATTATCTAAGTATTTCTTCACTTTGGTTATTAATTGGTTTAAATATTTGGAGCTCCCACATTCGGGGCATATATATTGAGGATTGTTAAGTCCTCTTGTTGGATAGATCCTTTAAGTATGAGATAGTGTCCCTCTTCATCTCTCACTACAGTCTTCAGGGTAAATTTTAGTTTATCTGATATAAGGATGGCTACCCCTGCTTTCTTTTGAGAACCATTTGAATGGTAAATGGTTCTCCAACCTTTTCTTTTCAGGTTGTAGGTGTCCTTCTGTCTAAAATGAGTCTCTTGTAGACAGCAAATAGATGGGTCCTGCTTTTTTATCCAGTCTGAAACCCTGCGCCTTTTGATGGGGTCATTAAGCCTGTTCACGTTCAGAGTTACTATTGAAAGATATGAGTTTAGTGTCATCATGATATCTATTCAGTCCTTGTTTTTGTGGATTGTTCCACTGAACTTCTTCTTAAAGGGTAATTTTAAGAGTCCCCCTTAAAATTTCTTGCAGAGCTGGTTTGGAGGTCACATATTCTTTCAGTTCCTGCCTGTCTTGGAAGCTCTTTATCTCTCCTTCCATTCTGAATGAGAGCCTTGCTGGATAAAGTATTCTTGGTTGCATGTTCTTCTCATTTAGGACCCTGAATATATCCTGCCAGCCCTTTCTGGCCTGCCAGGTCTCTGTGGAG